GACCTATATGAATGAATGACTATGTGTTTTTCTTTCCATCATTTATCTTTTCTTTATCTCATTTTATTTGTCTTTTAAAAGTTCTTACTTTTTGATTATGACAAAAAAAGGGGAAGAAAATAGATCTGACTGTTTAAATAAACTCTACCAAAATGAAACTTCAGACATATCAATTTTATCTAACATAAAATCTGAGTGTTTCAAAACATTTGATAAATCTGATATACTCTTTAAAAGAAACTCTGAGACTCCCAGGTCATATTTAACTTATCAGACTTTGACTCTGAAACAAGCAAGATTGAATGTTTAGAACATTCAGGCTCTGATCCTAAAAAGAATACTCATGCAAAAAGGGAAGTTTCTATTCCTTCTTAGTATTCAATTCAGGGGGAGATTCATCATCTCAGGGGGTGTTATAATTATTTTCTTTACTATTGAACAAAATTTATGATGTTTTTGTCATCATCAAAAAGGGGGAGATTGTTAGAACACAGATTGGTTCTTAATAATATCTCTATGTTTTGATGATAACTATTATGAAATTGTGTATTTAAGAATTATATACTCTAAATTTGCTTGAGAATGTTTGCTGTAGATGTTAAAGTAAATATCACTCAAGAAGCAAATTAGATCTGAACATAAGAAATATGCAAGGCTCTGAAGCGTCAGAAGCATCTCTTAGAAGATTCTGAACGCTGCCATCAGAAGATTTTGAGCGCTGCCTCCAGAAGGATCTGAAGCAAAAGCTACAGAAGAATCTGAAGCAAGTCAGAAGCATCTGAAGCAATGAAGAATTTTGTATGAAGAGTTTTCAAGCACAGTTACTTCAGAAGACTCTGATAGTACTAACGCTGTCAGTACTGAGGATCTGACCCAAAACTCTGCTCTGAACTTATACACGCTGAAAGCACACTTACTGCAAAGACTCTGATTCAGCAAAACTCTGATGAACATCAGAAGGCTCTAACCAACTTAGACTCTGATGATTCTTGCTGAAAATTGTTGAAAAAGAATTCAAAAGATTATGTCCGTTGGAATATCCAAACGACTCTTTCCTTATTTATGCTAGACACAAGAACACAGACAAAAAGGATTTCTCTGTGCATTCTTCTTCTAGGAAAGGTCACATGATGTGAAGACAAAAAAGGCTCAGACCTTTTTGGTACACTCTTCTCAACGTGAAAAGCTCTGGGATCACTGTGCCTATAAAAGCAAGTCCCCACTCATCTTCTTCAGTTGACGAAATATTTGAAAAGAATTCTTTAAAAAGCTTTCATACTACTCATACATTGTTGTTAGAATATTTCTTTATTCTTAATCTTAAGTGAAAAATCACAGTTGTGATAAATCTTTTTTAGAAGCATCTTTAACACTTGTATTTATTATTACATTTGATTGTAAGAGAACCTTAAGAAGATCCAGTTAGGATCAGTAGTTCTTGAGAAGACTTTGAACAGTTGTTCTTAGTGCTTACTATTGTAATCAGTTGATTAAATAGTTGATTAAGTCCTTGTTTGAGAAAGGCAAATCACTCTAGATATGGTGGACTGGAGTAGTTGAGTTCAACGAACCAGGATAAAAATCCTTGAGTTTTTACTTCTAAATTTTATCTTCATACTTATTCAACCCCCTCCCCCCCCCCCTCCCCCTTCTAAGTATTTTCTCACCTTCACGTCCTTCACAAGATCCCAAAGATCTTGATAACAGAAAATCACCTTGATCTGCTTGCACCAATTCTCATAATTGTCTTTCTTGAGAATTGGCAGGGTCGCCGGAAAGTTATCGTTCGGATAGTTCATCGCCATTACTATCTTCCTTCCTTGAATCTTTCAACCGGAGCTCTAGATACCAGATGTTGGAAATTCACCTCACACCCTATGAAGAATTCCCTTCAATCTTGATCTCAAGATTGATGAACAAACCCACAATATAATAGTAATGGTAATAACAAGTAATTATCAAGAACAACAAAAGAGAAGAAGAATAACAAACAAGAAGGAGAAGAATGAGAGAAGAAATATTTGGAGAAAATTGTTACCCACAAACTGTGGGATTTCTGATTGCTTATAGAACTTTCACTTGCTAAAACTGCAACTGTGAAATCTGTTCAATGTTGTGTTTGAATACAAAGCAAGGCACCCTATTTATAGTTTTAGGTTTACAAAAGCCCAAAACATAAAAGGCCCAAAATATTCAAATCAAATCTAATCATATCAAATCAAATTTGTTTACACTATGAATTATATTTAACATTCACATCTTTTTTATGATTTTTGTAGCGATTTGATCTTGTAATTGATTGGGCTTTTGAAACTAAGGCTTTTTTGAATGAGATTGGCACCATTTTTGTTTATTGTAACATGGATAATGAACCTTGATTAGTTCATGAACTTGTATATTTTTTGTAGTGTTTTTTCATGGATTGTAATGATTTAAAAGGACAAACATGTGACGGATTAAGATGGAGAATTAATTATAAAAAAATAGATTTTGATTTTGAATAAATAAATTATTTTTAAATAGATTTTTGGATGTATGGACTAGATATGGATTAAAATGGATAATTAGTAAAAAGATTTTTATAAAAATGAATATTGTTGGAAATTGAAAAGAGAAAAAAAAAGATATGGATAAAAGAAATGAATTATGAATGAAATGGTTAAAAAACTGGGTATTGTGAATGGATATGGATGGCTTTTAAATGGATAATTGAAAATGAGTAATTGATAAATTAGACAAAATTGTTATGAAAATGGATATGCACTTCCACACCTGAACAATACCCAATCCTCGACAATCACTTGAATGCCACTAATCTTGAATGACATCACAATCTTGAATTCATCTTAAAATGATCTTCAATTGAACAATAAACTTGACAAATCTTCGGATTGATGACAAAAACTGAAACTACAATATCAAGACTTTGCAAACAACTCAACTGCTTTGAACTTTAATGATTATGCAATTTGACTTCACCAAATGACTTAAACCTGACATTAAAATCCTAGTTTGATGATCTTCAGATATACATACTCACCAAATGGTTGAATTGCATTAACTTTGAAAGAATTATATCTAAGCTAGAAATGAAAAACAAATATTCATCAGTTTAAGGGGGTGTCAAAACAGTGTATTTTATGCAGGTTTATATCTGTAGTAATTTTGTAAAAGCTATATTTTGCTAATTATTAGGTTTATTTATTTAGAATCAATCCCATAATCACAAGAATTTGTTTCTTTAAAACTAGTTGTCCATATTCCCTAAAATAGACTGCAGGCTCATATATATATATATATATATATATATATATATATATATATATATATATATATATATATATATATATATATATATATATATATATATATATATATATATATATATATATATATATATATATATATATATATATATATATATATATATATATATATATATATATATATATATATATATATAGGTCCGGTGACCTTAAAATATAATAAGAATATTATTTTTTCTAAATTTAATATTTGTTGGACTTTCCGCCTTAATTGCGGTCCGCCCCTAATCGCCTTAATTGTGGCATTTTGTCTTGTCTTCGTTGCAGCCCTTAACACCATTATGTTGGCTTTGAAGGGGTGAATTTAGTTCCACATTGTTTAGAGATATGACATGTGTTGTGTTTATAAGTGCAGCAATCCTCACCTTACAAGTCGATTTTGTAGTGTTGAGTTAGACCCGACCAAAATCCTGAGATGGTATCAGAGTCTATCCTAGATCTATTGTTGGGCTTCCCGCATCGTCCATGACTTGGCCTCATTTAGGCCCAAGCGTGAGGGGGTGTGTTGGACTTTCCGCCTTAATTGCAGTCTGCCCCTAGTTGCCTTGATTGCGGCACTTTATAAGTGGAGACAATTTTCACCTTACAAGTCAGTTTTGTAGGGTTGAGTTAGACTCAACCCAAATTTTGAGAAGTTCCCTAGACGTAAGTATAGTTTCACCGAATTGGGTAAACAACTTGATTGTGTTCTTTATTGGAGCATCATCTATTATTGAAGGGGTGGATTTAATCTCACGTTGCTTAGAGATATGGTATGTATTGTTTTTATAAGTGAAGACAATTTTCACCTTACAAGTCGGTTTTGTAGGGTTGAGTTAGACTCAACCCAAATTTTGAGAAACCCCCTAGACGTAGGTATAGTTTCACCGAACTGAATAAACAATTTGATTGTGTTCTTTATTGTTTTTCTACTTCATCATCTATTATTAGTTAATGTTTTATTTCTGGTGTGTCTTATCGCACTCGTTATTGGAGCATCATATTCGACAAATGTTATTTGAGAAACAAAATAAGCGACAATGACAATGATTAACAGCGACGATCAAAAATCAAATATTAGTGTGGTGGCAATTACGGTGCTCAATGGCGATGGTGACGATGAAGATCATCCATAAATGAAGAAGCCACAATTGGCTCTTTACAAACAGTGCTTACAAGAAACTATGTATGTGCACTTTTATTTTAGTTTTGCTTGTTAAAATATATTTTCCACATTACAGCATATAATACACATTTTAGTTAATCTAATGGTGAAGAGTGAAGGTAAGTCAACTCTAACCTTCCGATTCCGTTTAAATGGCAACTTGCGAGCGTTGGAATCTGACATATCTGTTTGCATGTAAAATCTATTTTATTTTCAATTTAAAAGGATTTGTACACAATTATCTTTAACTATTTTTTATCTTTCCTAACTTTCTTGTGATTTATGTTGCAATTTCACAGATGACTTGAGTTTCATGATCACGTCTTTATTGTAATTACCCTCTTCAAGAGCTCAGGCTTAACTTTTTCTTTTCATTTTGAGGTATTGAGTCATGCATATGTTTCGAAATTTTAACAACTTGGTCATGTTAAATGCCACACTATAGAGTATAGACTCCTCTAACTATGAACATACAAATAATGCACTTCCTTAACCCAAAACTTCCCTAAACAATACAGAAGAATTAATTTTCAGTTATTTGGAATTCTCTCATAGAAAAGCAAGCTGGCCTCAGCAGAAAGAACATCATCCACTGAAACAGCATCCACATGAGAATCTGAAACACAAAACCAGTGCATTGAATTTTGATTGAAGCAATCGCCAGAGACGTCTGAGGACTCGGATCTCACACATCTGTAAACAATGTAATGCCCTCCTCCAGTTTCTCCAAAGTGTTCCACAACAGAAACAAGTTGATACACACATGTGTTTTGAGAAATTGAATTACAAGAAATATTGACCTGCATAAAAAGCACAAAATGTGAGAACTTAAAAAGAACATCACCGAGCATGTCAGTGTCATTGCCATGTCACTCACTTTAGAGATTGGCAGACAGATACACAAAGCTTCTTTAAAGATTCAATGTAAAATGAATGAATCAATACAGAAAATATGGACCAACCGTGTCAATGGATTGCAACTGTGTGTTTGAGCGAATGCTTTCTGAAGAGCCAGAACACGGAAGTTCATCAAGTTCATGTCTGCCACTGGATTCAATCATTCTTGTCTCAGACTGCAGATTGCTATGGTTAGGCAAAGAATTTTTTTTGTTATACTGCATATTCAACGGCGGACTTTGTACATCTTCCTGTATATTTACTCCTAGTCTAGTTGTCATGAATGACACATCCAAAATCAAGGGAAAAGAAATATGGCCCTGAAACACCATCATCATGGCAACAACAAAAAAATCAGTGAATGTCCACATAACCATTTAAAAGTGCAATCAAATATGCGTTATGCCTGGTGAACTTTTATTTATTTGTGTGTTCAGGAGGATTAATAAATATGAAGCCGTAAAGGAATGGAGGACAATGAAGCTCTCGGATACTCTAAAATCTCTGCCAAATTGTATCCATACACTCCGATACATATCAAAGGAGTATCCGGATATTTTTATTTTGAAAAAGAAAATCTGATATGTCCCAGTACGGCCGCGACGCACCGCGATACACCGTCAGCACATCTTTGATAAGCCACGAATACGGTCGATTTATCTCATACTGTTTAATTTTTTAGAAGATGAACTAAATTTTCCCCTCCTTAATTGTTCTTCTCTCAACTTTAATTCCCTCTCATGATTGTTCATTTTTCTATACCACTTTTTCAAGGTTGGTTTTTTTTTTTGGGGAAATGCTAGTTGTGATGAAAAGCAAATTCACTAATACTACTTTCTAATATGATTGGTGTTGGGTGGGTCATCACGAGAAGCATCCACATTGGGTCAAGAGCAACACACAAGTGAGACAGAAACCACATATCCACCCAAAACCTCAAGGTGATAGGTGTATGGGTACTCTCACTTATAAAGTGCTCAACCTCCACTTTACTAAGCAATGTGGGACTTTCAATTCACACTTGTACACAAAATTGACCGCTTTCACCATAACTCCGTGATTTCTATCCAAGAGCAAGTTGAACATTTGACCGCCTTATAAAAGAATAACACGTATAATTTCGCAAGCTTCGTGTTGCAGCAGCGCTCTTTCTTTTTTTATAACTCCTTTACCAGTTATTAAATTTTGCAAATTCAATTGGTTTTTGTTGGACAATGATTTAACTAATGTATACTTTTCATTTCATACATGTATCTTAAATATATCGTATCATATATTTTTTATTGACCAACATATTGCTTTATCAGATACGTATCACCGTATCAGATACGTATCACCGTATCAGATACGTATCGTATCGGTGCTGCATTGCGTTCGAGATTACCTGGAGTTTGAATGACTCTCCAACACCATCCATGTGAGCTCTTTTCAGCTGGATGCATAAAATCTGCCACCAGACAATTAAATGTTTCAGTAGTTCAGAGATTGAACACCAAAAAAACAGATAAGTGCCGGAAAGCACAATTAGGCATACCCTTGGACACCGAGCAATATTTAGCTGCTTCAAAGCATGTGAAAACCTGTTTGACCACGGTAAATTTTCAAGATCATATGTTTTTCGGCAATCGCAGAACTCTTGGTCAGAACAACTCCTGAGTTTTTCAAGTTCTACCTGAGTAACAATGGCAAAAAAATTCACAACTTGACAACATAAAGAACAGCCAATTACTAGAGTCAGCAACCAACATCTATGCATCACTTGGCTATCTTTATCTATATCTAAATAAATAAAAGAATCGCATAGGGAAGACCTTGTCTCCTTCCATCAAGGAAAGATACTCGATTGCAGTGTTGTGCCAACAGTGGCTGCAGTGGTAGTTCTCAATGTGTTCAGCTAGAATGAACTGCTTCAGGCAATCCACCAGCGTACAACCAACTCTCTACAACCAGTAAAATTTAACAATCAGAGTTACAATAGGCATGTAGTACTTCAGCCATCTAAGGAATAACATTGAAACTACAATATAAGTGATATTGATTTTAAAACTTACTACAGTGTAACTATTACTAAGCACGAGCGAAAGAGGCAAACAATCAAAATTTTCAAATTTATTTGAGATCTGCAAAATGAACAAATATGAAGTTAAAAGATATTAAATAAATACAAAAGACTGGAAAAGGGAAACACTATCAGAATCATATTAAAAATGAAGAAAGAAGATATTATCATTAAAAACCAGAATAAAAAATTATATAAGTAAAATTGTTATCAAGAAACTGTGTAATCAGCAGCATATCATGATAAAAGAAAAGCTATTAACATGGATGTCTCATGCCTCAAACAGACCACAGACCTGGACCAGCCAAAAAACACACTATGGGGTCATTACTGACTAGGTTTACATGTTTGGAGTATTTATGTGACATGAATTTAGTCATTTACATGCCACAATAAGTCTTGTCAGCATGTCACTGTCAACTAATGTTGTGACCTTATGATTAATACTGTTTATCATTACCATCATTAGATCTATCAACAGGTCAATGATCAATACATGTAATAACAAAAGTCAAACATAGAACAAAATCAAATTTGACATTTATAGCCAAATTCCTAAAAACTCATTTCTGGCCATTTTTAAATGATCAACATTAATTCTTCCAAGATGTTTTTAGCAAGTGGCTGTAATGTTACCCTACAACAAAACAGGAGGTCAATAAAAACATCAATCTGAACAATAGTCCTCCCAATAGCCAGTTATAGAATGACTTCAAACATAATACATGTCAGCAAAAGATGCAGAATTGAGCGTCATAGTTTTTTATGAAGCTGATCTAAAATTAGAGACAAGAACCAGAGAGTGTACGTGCAATCAACTAATAAGGAAAAGTTTGTAAGATTGCACTGATGAAAGTCTCCTATACCTGGGAAGAACAGCTTTGACAAGTTAAGCTGCTACAAAGAATCCCGTCAAAGGGTCCAAGGAAGAGGCTGTGCCATCTCTCTGGCTCACTCTGCCAATCCGTCTGTATTGGAGCAAGAATTCTATTATTAGAAGCAAAAAGGTCTGCTAAAGAACTTATCTTTGGAGCATAACAACCTCCGGATTCTTTTCTCAAAGAGCCCAGTAGGTGACCAAACGCCTCAGCAGCATCCTACAAAAACAAACAAACTAAGCATGGAGCAGAAAGAAAATTAAAACAAGCTAAATGACAAAAGGAGCGCAACTCTACCTGCTGGCTCGTCAAATCAAAATCTGGAATGTAGCAGGACATATGACGCATTAAATTTGTAGGACTCAATACAACATTTTCTGTACAAACTGAGCTCAGCTCTGCACTCATGGAGAACAGTACACTATTACAATTTATAAAAGTGTATAACAGTGATTCGCCAGTGATTGATACAAATATCAAATAGTAAACTATGAGTAAAACTAAAGAATCGCATTTCATTTATCTCAACTGAGTGAAAGTAAAATGTACACAAATCAACCCATACATGCTCTCATTAAAAGAAGGAAAGAAGAAAACTGAAAAGCTACAAAACAACTTCTAAGTTATAACTACTATCTAACCACTAACATAACCAACTTGATGGTTAATAAATGATTTAGACTAATGGTATAGTTGTCTTATTTGAACTTGTTTTGGGCTGCTCACGAGTCCCAAGACAAAAGGATCAGAGGTGAAGCAAAGGAAGTGAACACGAGGAGCAGGTGTTCCTCTATCCTAGACTGAAGTAGACAACTCCGCCCACTGAACCATTGTCAACCGGCCAGATCAATCAATCAAACGGTTGTCTATTTGGTTGTCTGCACAACACATCACATTCCTCTCAGACAGTTTTAATCGCTCCCCCTATATAAGATAGAAAGCACAACATTCTCGGATATTTAAATTCACTATCAATCTCACATTACTTTTTATTCTCTCACTGTGTTGGAGTGCTAACCTTGCAAGTTAGCCCCTCGCCGTTGTACCAATCCGGAACCTTACTACAATATTTTATTTCATCGTTTACACATAACTTATTACTTCTCCGTAAGTTATTACAATTCCATGAGTTGTTATGGAAACAAATTATTACATTTCCATAAGTTGTTTGCAGCTTATCTTCATAATCTCTTCAAGAAAGCATATGAAAACAGTTTAACTTTACTAGCTCCATAAACCACGGGAACATATAACAATCACAGTTGTCTCTCCAATCCACAATTTGAAAAGTAAAATGTAAAGTAGAATAGAATCGCAGAAAGAGTGAGGTAGTGCTACCTTGTAATAAAGAAGCCAAAGAAAATACAAGAGACATGTTTCCATCGCGTCGTTCATCATTCTCATATTCCGCAATAACACTATCAAGAAAACTCTGAAAGCAAACACAACTAGCAAGAGCCTGCAAAACGACGTTGAGGAAGCAATTATTCCCGAGGTTTTGCAAGCCGGGAATCAAGAGCGGTTTTTCGGGAGCGTTGTTATATTTAACCAATGATGTAATTGGTTTAGATGATTTGGTATCTTTTAGAACGAATATGATACCGACGGCAGCTATGGTGGCAATGCCGGTAACGGCTGCGCAAATGGTAGGGGATAGTGTCCAGTTAGCGCCGGTTTGACGGAACCGTAGCGTCTTCTTCATAGCGAGGGTTTGTTGAATCGAGGACGCTACTGAGTTTGATTTGAGGGATGAGATTGTGTTTTGTTCGTTTCAGTAAGCTTGGTGAGTTGAGATTTTCAATCACTCCTACAGTCTTACTACTGCGACGAAGCGTTGTCTTTTTTAGTAAAATTGGGTCAACCGATTGGGTTATAAAGTAAAGGCCCAGAGAAGTGCAAAGACTGCAAAAACTAAAGAATTTATCCTGGTAGATTTTTTGTTACCCCAAATTTTCATATAAATCTAAGGTGGTTCATACTTTACAGGTTAAAAACAAAATCGAATTGAATCAAATAAATTATAGAAAAATTCACTTGAATTAAATTCAATTGTTTTAATTTATTTAAAGCCAAATCGAACTAAATTATTAGTTTGGTAACCATTTTGAAATTTCGAGCTATAACCAACCGTTAAAAGATAATTTTTTTTAAATTGAATAATTTGTTAAAAAATCGAACCGTTAAATTATTTTTTTAATCTTTTTAAATATTTAAAACTAATTTTTAATTTTTTTTCATTTTCAGTTTTTATTTGATTCGGTTTTTCTTATCATATGGTTCGATTTACTAACCAAATATATCGGTTTAAATATTTTAACTTCAATTCAGTTTGGTTTGACAGTTCAGTTCGGTTCGTAGTTTTAACTGTCCTATATATAATGTGTACTTATCCAACCTTATCCAACCTTACATAAACATGGGAAAAAAATCATGGGAACTACAAGTCAACTAACCATCAGATACAAACACCACACCCAAAGCCACTACATCATTAAGAGAGCGTATATTAGATCTCAGCAACAAGAAAACCACCATCGACAGTACACGATCCTTCAGAAAAAACAACAAGTACATTTCATCTCAAGAATTGGATCAATGACTCTCAAACTATGAATCACGAACATCAGAAACACGATATTGGCATTAATAATAATTTGAAAAAATTAATAAATCAAACGTAATCACAAGTACGGTGTCAATTTCAAACACCGACACTAACACAAACACATCTTTTTCAACGGTGTAGGTGCTACAAAGCTCTCAAATCATATTGGCTTAAAAAGGGAATGAGGATATCAAGTCATTCAGAGAAAATACATGAGTATGTCGCAGACTTACCAAAATATCATTTCTAAACATGAAAAATGGTTTTTCTTCACAACAATAAACACACCCACTTGTAAAAACAACATCATTATGAGATTTTCAAATTGACCACACAATCGATTGTCAAATCATATAGAAATTGCGTCTAATCTTAGAAGTCCATTCGATGAGGTGAACGCCTCAAAAACAGACAATAGATCCTTAAGAAGAACAAAACTCACCCTAACCACATATAAATCTTATATCGTGGCGTCATTGTTGGTGAATATGGCTATAAAAGAGTTTAAAAGGCATGATAGTTTTTGAATATGTGCGAAGCATGCTACCGCATGGGCCTCAAATTTTTCAAAGTAAAATTATATCAAAATAGGACTAGTAGAATATTGTTAGGTTAAATCATAATTATATATAACCTCTATTTATTTGAATATGTTTAATTGTAGCTAAAACTTAACACAACTCGAAAAAAATGTTAGATAGACTTTATTTGTTTTAAAGTTGCAAATCAAAATTTTTACGAAAGAAAGATAGTTGGAAAAAATATTTTTAAATAGTGCATAATTTGATGGATTATACTCAATGACATATCTAAATTATGTATTCAGTTATTTATATATATATATATATATATATATATATATATATATATATATATATATATATATATATATATATATATATATATATATATATATATATATATTTATTATTGTGAATCGGATACCTTAAAACTAAATACAAACAGTTTCTTGATGATCAAGAAACACACAAGGGTTAGGGTTAATAAAGAAGAAAACAACAAGGATTGGTTATTAAACTGTTATTCTTTCTTTTCTCTTAGAACAAGATTACAAGTATACAAGAATAATAAAATAACCTCTCTCTCTTGAAATTAGGATTTTATCTTCCTATTTTTCTTTATATCAAGATTGAGAAACTAGCATCCTATTTATAAGAAAAATAGCACACTAACCTAATGGGCTTTTTAACAATTATCCATTACAAACTAACTTAGGGTACAAGCTAACTTAAACAATTGGGCTTGCAAGTAAGGTCTAATTCAACATGCTAACAAACCCTAGTAATATTGACTAATGTATGTTAATACAGACTTCGACTACAACACGCATTACTCGCGAACAAACTTCGACCATACTAGAGTTCGATCCAACATCTCAGAAATCTCCACCTTGGATCTAACTCTATAACATCAAGAAACTAGCTTTCTTCATGCAGCTTTATTAACTGCATACAGTGGGCAAACTTGCAACTAGGCAACGTTTTGATGATCATGTCAGCAGCATTATGATCTGTCAATACCTTTAGCACTTGGATTTCTCCACGCTCGATTACTCCTTTGATGAAATGCAGCCTCACATCAATGTGCTTGGTTCGCTCATGATAGGTTGAATTCTTCAACAGGTGTATTGCACTTTGACTATCACATTTAACAGTGATAACTCGACCTTCAAGTTTTAGCTCCTTTGCAAAACCTTCAAGCCACAATGTTTCCTTCACAACTTCAATTAGGGCAATATACTCCGCTTCAGTGGTTGATAAGGCAACGACCTTTTAAAGTGTTGTTTTCCAACTGATTGTTGTCCCAAACATAGTAAACACATGTCCAGAGATAGATTTTCTGGAATCCATACAACCTGCATAATCAGAATCGACATATCATTCGATTGTTGCTTTACTATCTTCACCCAAGGCTCCACCATAAACTAGGACTCTATTCAGAGACCCATTTATGTACCTTAAAATTCACTTCAATACTTGTCAGTGAGCCTTTCCAAAATTCGCCATGTACCTGCTTACAAGACTTACTGCATATGTTATGTCGGGTCTAGTACAGACCATATCATACATCAAAGAACATACTATGTTAGCATATGGAATGCTATTCATATAAGTTCTTTCAACATCAGTGTTGAGACACTAATATATACTCAGCTTGAATTGAGGGTTTGTCGGAGTCACAATAGGCTTTGAATTCGACATACCAAACTTTTCGAGAATCTTCTGTAGGTGTGCCTCTTGAGATAAGCATAATTTCGACTTCTTTCTATCTCTCCGGATGTCAATCCCAAGAATCCTGGACGCAACTCCCAGATCCTTCATGTCGAAATCTTTATTGAGTTCAGCCTTCACCCTTATTACATCTTCGTCATTGTTGCTTTCTATTAGAATATCATCCACATAGAGCAACAAAATAACAAATGAATTACCCGGTCCAAATCTGAAGTAAACACAGTAGTCGAACTGACTTCTGATGAAACTTATGCGTGCCATAAACTTGTCGAATCTCCTATTCCACTGTCGAGGAGATTGTTTCAGTCTATATAAGGATCTATTCAGCTTGCACACATAATCTTCCTTCCCTTTTTCGACATACCCTTCAGGTTGCCTCATCGGGATTGTTTTATCTAAGTCACCATACAAGAAAGCAGTCTTCACATCCATCTATTCCAATTCAAGGTCGAACTGTGTCATTGTGGCAAGCAACATTCAAATGGATATATGCTTCACAACAGGATAGAACACATCATTGAAGTTGATACCTTCTTTCTGAGTGAACCCCCTAGCAACCAATCTTGCCTTGTATCTCTTCGACGCCACTCCTTTGATTCCTTCCTTAACTTTGAAAATTCATTTACAGTTGACTAACCTGGCTCCAACAGGTTTCTTGATCAGTTCACGGGTGTTGTTATCACGAAGATATTTCATCTCATCATCCATGCCCTTCAATCATTCAGTCTTATTTCGATTTCTCATAACTTCCTTATAGTCTATAGGTTATTCATCTAGAACCTCACTAGCAGAGATTAAGGCATAAGCTATAAGATCTGCATACCCAAGTCTCTGAGGTGGCTTGATGACTCTCCTCGACCTGTCTCTTGCTAGCAGGTAGTCATTATCAGTTTCCTCATCTTCGACAACATCTTCTGCATCTTCTTCGACTTCATCTGGGGTAAGCAATTTAGCATCAACATGCTATACCTCAACAACAATCTCTCTTTGTTCTAGCTCTTCGTCAGCATCATCAGTTTTATTGAAAGTCATTTATGCTTCATTGAAAACTACATCTCGACTGGCGATACACCTCCTGTAACCTGGCTCTAGGCACCATAGCCTATAAGCTTTGACTCCTTTAGGGTATCCCATGAACATGCATTTCAAAACTCTAGGTTCGACCTTGTCTTGCCTAATATGAGCATAGGCCACACAACCAAATACTCTCAATATGTCGAGACTAGGTGGATGTCCCGACCAAACTTCTTCAGGTGCCTCCATTCCCAAGGCAGTCGAGGGACATCTATTTATCAGGTAAGCTATTGTCAAAACAGCTTCCGCCCAAAACACCTTTTTCAATCCAGCACTAACCAACATGCATCTAAACCTTTCAAGAATTGTTCAATTGAATCTCTCAGCTAAGACATTTTGTTGAGGAGTACCTACTACAGTCTTATTCCTTGCAATCTCATACTCAACATAGTAACTGTCGAACGCTTTGTTGCAGAAATCAAGGTCATTGTCGGTTCTCAACCTCTTAACCTTTTTGCCAGTTTTAGTTTCTACCAAAATCTTCCAACTTTTGAAATTCTCAAAAGTTTCATCCTTCGTCTTCTAAATGAATACCCATAGTTTTCTGGAATAGTCATCAACGATTAATAAAAAATACCTTGCACCTGAGTGGGAAGGATTCCTTGTAGGCCCCCAAAGATCAGCATGAATGTAATTTAGGGATCCATGTGTTATTTGCTTGCCTTTGTTAAACTTCGTCCTACAGGATTTACCAAATACACAAGATTCACAAAACTCCAACTTTTTGACTTTGTTACCTCCTAGAAGGTTTTGCTTCCCCAATTCGACCAG